TAATAAATCAATGTGATCCCCTTTTGAAAATTGCAAAAAATTACCGGTCCAATGATTGTAAAAATATTTATGAATCTGACCGCAGAAATTATTTAAATCTTCTGTAATCATAATTAGACATTAACAAAAGTAAAGCAGTAAAATTTAAAACAGTGAAAATATATTGAAGGAAATTTTTATTTTGTAAAAATGTATAATTCTTGAAATTTTTATGATGGAAACTAATGTTCTAAGAATGTAAAAGTAAGAAGGAAACATAATTCAAAAGTTTTCCCAGGTTTCTTTTTATAGAAAAGAGCAACAACTTTTCTAAGTAGTTAATACAATTTACAGAAAATCCAAATGTTAGTACGTACAATAAAAGAAATGGAATTACAAGGACTGTAATATGCCATTTCCTTCCTCAAAGAACGGGGGAGAAACACTGTCCGGTTAGCAGATGTCCCAGAAAAATTTGTTGCACATCAAACGGTCAGCCCCTTGTCCCATTTAGTGTAAAAAAAGAACGGAGTCAATATCTGCTGTAGTTCCGGAGGGAACAGCTTGTAATACTATACGTATCTATAGCTCGCCCAGTTTAATGCTAGACTATCATTCCGTACGATACACACAATGGCTTCAATAATTAGGAAACGCTCGTAGAAGAGACTGCTCGTATTCGCTTCACATATTCTTTACGTCGGTAAAAGTGTAACAGTTCGCTTGAATAATAGCATAATCTTGATACGAACAATGAAACAAGTAGGGAAAACTCTATGTCGATAATTAAATTGTTCCACGATAATGTAACAATTCATAATAGTCTAATTTTATATCACAGATACAAAACTTGTCTAAAAAGTGGAAATTATTATTCCCACTCGCATTAGGCAATTTAACTCACTGACAACACTAAAAGTGTTTAACACATGTTGTCTCATCAAAATAACCAGATTAAGACGATTCGATTGTAATCAGATTTAAAATCTGATTATTATATAATTTCGATGAGTAAAGATTTAAAAGTTCCAGAGCTTTCCAGGTCCGCAGGTGTCAATATCCGCCAGAAAATTCTCGTTACAGAGACATCGGAAGTTCGAAGGGAGCGGAGAGAACACCTACGGCGATTACGCTCGTGTATCGGCGTATCTGGTATACAGAGCAGAACAGGAGGCCGTTCGCAGGCGGAGGCGGGATTCTGGGCCGAAGGCTCGCGCGAATCGTTTTTAGCCGGTAGCAAAAACCGGGGCCGTTTCTTCTTAGACTGGCCTTGTGTCATCTGTTGAACAAGTGACACGACTGTGGCCTGGCCCCGGTGCCGGTCGAGAGTGATCGATCTCACGTGGACGCACAGGCTGCTGCCATGTCGGCGGCATCGTCGGGTAGCTGAGCGTCGCGTCGCCAACGAGGACTAAAACATCCCGGCCGATCAATTAACCCGAGAGCCCGGCGAAGAGCAGCCATGGATATTCAAACGACGTCACTGAGAAAGAGAGGAGAGAAAGGAGGAGAGAGAGAGAGAGAGAGAGAGAGAGAGAGAGAGAGAGAGAGATGTGCCATTGTGTAGCCTCGACGCGGGTCACCTCGCCCGCCAAGCGGTACGTTTCAATGCACGAAACGCCTGTGTTTCTCTCCTCTCATCTCTTTTGCTTCTCCCATTTTTTTCTCGGCCGCTCCATGAACTTGGGAATCGAACGGTTTCACTTTGGCCGGCTTTTTTGCCCGTCCTCGTGTTTTTGAAGCGGTCGAATACGAAGAGACTGTAAGTGCCATTTTTGCAAAAGATTTTTCTTGGCTATGCAAGGGCCGATATTGGTAATATGTATATGTATAGAAGGGGTGTTGTCACCGTAATTCTGTCAGTTTTCCGTATATTCAGCCAAGTGTCTAAATTAAATTGTATCATTTTCTAACAAGTCCCTACCATCATTCTCTAACATGTCTGTCTTCTTTCCACGTATTTGTCACGGTGTAAAGGGTTACAGATAATGATTATACGTGTGATTTCTGTCGATAATCGAATATCAGGAGTATTTAATCATTTAGCTGTTGCAGTCTCTTTGAAAAGTGTGTGAATTACTGTAATCGTACTATATTTAATTTTCTTCATATTTTGTTTAGATACTACACTTTTATAATATATATAATTTAATCAAGAATATCGAAGTATATGCAGTATATAAAATTGCTAAATACAAAAGTTGTCAAGTTTTAAGGGGGGAGAGGAGAGTGATGTATTCACTTTTTTTTGTACATAGTGTAATTTCTAAAATTTTAAGATCAACTTCTTCTTTTTAAATGGGAAGGTATATTTTTCTCATCGTATATCTTCCCATTTAAAAAAAAAAAGAGAATTAACTTCGAAATTTCAAAAAGTACACTGTGTACAGAAAAAGTGAATACATCGCCTCGTCTCTCCCCTAAAACTCTACGTCTTTTGTGTTTAAACCGTTTTAATTAGATGCATAATTTAAAAGTTATTTGGGATGTGCAAGTTATTTGACTCACCCTGTATGTATATCCTTCTTAACCAGTTAACTGTTTTCGTCGAGTGTGCTCGTCATGAAGAAATGGCAACTTTTTGAGGTACGATGAGTATACTCGTCAAAAACAGCTAACTGGTTAAATATTATGCATGCTATTAACGCATCAGGATGTGAAGGATATTGACGAGTAACAGGTTTCGTACTATTCTTCTATTCATTGGAAGTTTGTGTCACGTTGAAACATTTGCGATCCTGACCAGAGCGACAGATGTATGAAATGTGTGGTCGATGGGACACCGTAGTTTCTGGGAAAACGTAAGACGAGGTCTGCGAAGGAAGTTTTGAGAAGAGCGTGTTAAAAGTTTCGCGAAAGTACACGTCGTCAACGATGTCGAGACCCTCGGAACTCTATTTGATATCAATACCCTCCGTTTTACAATTTGGCGAATTTCATAAAAGCGATTTGAGGACACGTACTCGAGTAGATCGAAGTTGGGAAAATGTAAAAGAGATCGATTTCCCGATCCTCTAGATTCTAGACCAAAAGACCTCCTTAAACGGGGGAGCACTTCGACAAGCGCGTTAACTGCCTCATCAATCACATATAGATGACACGATTCTTTATCCAGGCTTAAGAAATTAATTTATATAGTATAACATCGAGTGGAACAAAGATCGTTGAGATCAATGAAGTGCTAGTTCAATTAAATGTATATGAAAGACGGCAAATTGTAGATCGTATTCGTTAAATTTTTCAATCGTGTTTTGTTTAAAAAAATTCATTACTATTTACGAAATTTTTGTAGGTACTGATTTGGTAATCTGAAACGGTTTTAGATCAATCTACGATAAATTTTAAACGCGACAGTGAACTCGTTAATATTGTATAATTTAATTGATCAAGTAGAATTCGTAAAATTGTTAAATTGTTAATGACTAAGTCTAATAAAAAGAATAAAAATGGTTAAATTAAAAGGAGGTGATTGCGAACCCAAATGTATTCTAATTTTTTCAAAGAAGCGCCGTAAACTATAATCTGTTTGATTGGATCTTCGGCAAATCGCTTCTATGGAATGTATATGTATATATACATATGTTTGCATAAACATGCAACGATTTGAGTTTCATGATAAATCTGCAGTCTCTCTAACGAACATAACGCTAACGATGATTGAATAAGCTAGGAATCTCAATGAAACCAAGCTGAACGTTTATTTTCATGTTGATAATAGAGAGAATCTATCAATTTTATCCGAACTTCTATGTTCTTGCTAAATTAATTTTCATATTACATAAATTTTGTATTTCATTTCTTATTCAATTTATCGCATAATATTGATTCTCAAAATTGTTTAAGTAACTCCGTAAAAATAACATCGATCTTGAAATGAAACGGGCCGGAAGAACTTATCCGTGTTCGTAGTCTTTTTATGTTGCAAATAGTTTTCGGTTCAAAGGTTTCATAACCTTACTTCAACCGTTACATCCGAACGAATTAGGGACATCAATTGTTCTTAAACGAAATTACACGTAACGTAGAGAAATATACTGTTGCAGTGCCAAATTATTTTTGTATGAAACTAAATTAAACAGAAGTTACTGTGTACAAACATTGTAAACCTCATACAGCGTGCGAATAATCAAACTTTACTTATATTATTGTTATGACTATTACTTGTTTCTATCCTTTGTGAGATTTCTTAAATATGAAACTATATCAACTAATGTTCTATAAATCGTCCCGTGAATATGACTTTTCTTGTAACAAAATATTTACAACACCAATTTTTTCTTTTCTTAACATATAATTTACTAGTCGCTTATTTTTAACATTTCAAGATGAGATAGATAAACAAAAACCACTATTACTTAAATTCCGGAAAAATGATTAGGATAACTGATATACAGTTACAAAAGAATATTTCTTTAATGACAAGAAAGGATAATGTAAGTTTAATAATTGATTTCGATTTGATGTTAAACTTTCTCGAATTCTAATGTTTCAATCAAATGGAAATAATTTCGCGGAGCACGTTTTTTAACTTAAAAAAAACAAACCGTATCACATAACTCAACTACTTCAGATAATTTCCATTCAAGATAAATGTCATGGCATAATTGGCGATTACATGAATGATCCATCGATAATCGTACTAAACTTCAATTATAATACAATGCAACAATACAAATAAACAAATAAGGTAATCGTAAAAATCTTGTAATTTGAGAAATCTTGAATTACGATGTATGTAATTAGAAGGTTACTATTGCCAAAGCGGCAAAACTATCCGATCACATTACCGCCGAAATCAAAATACAAGCACGTTTGTAAATCATATTTTCAAATTTATGTTGCATTTTCTGTGAGTCCGAGCACGTCGAACGCGTGTATCTTTGCTTCGTGCAAAAAGTGCGAAAAGAAAAAAGAGACACGCGTACCTAAGATTTAATGACAGTAAACTAGTAGTGAACGTTGAAATTCACAAGTGTCAATCAAAGAAATAGTGAAACAATGTGACAAATGGTAATACTCACAGTTGGTGGTGCAGGGTCAGCATGATTTTTTAAATGAAATCAATATAGATATATTCATTTGTGTGAAGACGATACCGAAGCACAGATTCTTGTACGATCATTTAAAGGTAGCACTCATTTAACGAAAGTCTAAAAAACGGCGGCCAGTTTGTAAATCGCATCGGAATCACACTAGGACCATACGAACGCGCACTTTGCGATACTTTTCCTGTGCAGGTACAGCGAAACCCGAAGTCGCTCACGTTCGTAACACTACTCCGTTTGACATAATTTATCTGGTGACCCCACGGCTGGTTACCCGTCGGCCGACGCAAAGCAACGCAGGGAGCTGCTGACAAAGTGGTAGGGATACGGCTAGGATTATCAAAAGTGTCTAGATGCCCTTGCAGTTCGTTACAGCGTGGTTACAGCAAACGTAGTAACGCAGTGACGTTGAATAGAGTGGCGAAAATACAGCGTTTTTCCGTAACTAATTTCTAGTGCGCATGCGTCCGTAACTAGATTCTCATGAACTTCGTATTCGAACGCGCATGCGTACACGTATACATAAAGACGCCAGTGACATCTTATACAAATATTTGTGTTTCCCTGTTTAAATTTCTTAGTACCACTACAATATGAATGTCGGTATACTCAGATATGTATTTAGCATAATAAAAATAGTTCTTCAAGGAATACTTAATAAATGAAATTATCTACACTTGTTAAATATCGTTTTCTACCATACTGGCATTTAAATATTACTGCGCTTTTTGAAGTCTCCAACGTCTTACATGCAGTCCGTTCACACTCTTATCCGTGTGAAACTGGCTCACCATATTAACCAATATTAATGAAACATAATTCAAAAAATTGCTCACCAATTAGTCTTAATTGCTTACTTATCCTTCTCGAGAAATATCCAAAAAAAACTTTTTGAGACGCCTAGTGACTTTTATGAGAGGCTGAGGGCTTTTAAAAATACGAAAATTCTGAAATAATACACAAACATGCTGCATGACCTATCAAAAAATTGCTCTTTTTATGATTATTGTTAAATAATTACTTCTAATTGCTTACTTCGCCTTTTCGAGAAAATGCCTAAAAGTCATCACACGATCTCGACTTCCTGAAATCGGCCGAAGTCCGTCATTGCAATCAGGGGGTGTCAACTCTATAGAGAAAATTGGGGATACTTGGACAAACTAAAATTCAATATGGCTGCCCACCCGCATGCGCATGTCCATTCCCGCCATTCTGAGCGAAGTCAAGCTGACCGCAAGCGAACCAGCAAACTGCAGCGAACAGATATACTGGACATAAACAGTAAGTCACACTTATTTTTTTCCTATAGTCTCTTATATCTTTGTAATAGTATTTAAAGTACATATATTTTTATTTTATATTCTTTTAATTGATCCATCCTATCATCGACAACGTAGTAGCGAGGATATTGGAGCCAATTTTATAATTGCGCGTACGTATATACCTAATTAGAAATGAATTTTTTGCTGTATACCACTATAAAATAGAATAGAAAAAAATCTTTTTCCAATATTAGTTTTGAACTTTGATTATTTTTCTTTCCCCAGTATTATAGTGTATTAAGGATATTTTTCCGAAATTAGGTTATGTACATCATTATATTGTTTTTTTTAGTTTGTATAATGATGTACATTTTGCATTTTCGAAAAAAATGTACTTGATACATTCTGGCTCTAGAATTCAGAATTTGAATTACCGCTTCTAAATCACCATATTGAATTTTAGTTCGTTCAAGTTTGCAGCTAGTTAGATGGCAGTGCTCCAAAAATTTACTAAGAATCGAGCCCCCTTGAATACGTTACATGAGTAACGTCGCTAGCAGAAGCTGTTCTGTCAAATTAGAGAATAGAAATTGCTTTTTATTTTAAATGACAAATTTTCTATTTAATCTAGAATATAAGTTGTATTGAAAAATGGAAAACGATAGCCCTGTAATATACGGACTTGAGTTTCAAGTATGTAATCAAACAATAAAAACTATAAATCGTGACAGTGTTTTAACAAAATCAATACCTTCATAAATAAAAAATTTAGGAACGTTGTATATATACGATTTTAATCAAAATTTTCTTTATACGATTATATAATTCATCATGGTTTTTAATTGTTATTTTATTATTTTTGACATTATAGAGTAGAGCATTGTCAGCTCAAACAGCAGAAACAGATATTGTCAGATTTCTAGTAGGCACACAGTCATTGGAATTTAATAACAATCAAGTTCATGTAGTGGAATTGCATGAAAAAACAGGTGGTTTAAGGACACAAGTGTTTCACCATCCTATTGGAGAAATTTGGTGCTTGCAAGCATCTCCAGCAGATCCTAATGTGTTCATTACTTGCTATAATACTTTAAGTGGTAATTATGATTAAGTTATCTTTTAACTATAAAGTGAGAAAAGTGAGAAAAATATCTAAAAAATTTTTTAAATATATTTTTATTTAGACGATGGCAGTTGTCAAATGAAAGGAGCTATTTGGAAATTACCAGAATTAAATGAATATACAAATGATGTTGAGAACCTTCTGAAACTAGCTGACATTGATACAACACCATATGGGACAGACCTCAAAACTATTGCCTATCATCCTACTGATGCAACACAAGCGGTCTCAATTGTAGATAATAATTTTGTATTATGGGATTTAAGTAACAGTGGACCACAGGTAATAATAGTTCTTCAAATTTACAGATAAGCAAGTTTGTATTCTTGATTTTTACTTTATTTAGGTTTTAGCTTGTGGCACTTTAGCTAGTAAGGGACAACCACGTTTTACAAATGGAAAGTGGAATCCTCATAATGGTTGCAATCAATTCGTGACGTTAAATGAAAACAATGTTCGTGGATGGGATTTTAGAATTCCTTCTGAACCATCATGGACAATTCTAAATGCACATTCACAAATTATTAGGTAAATAATAAATCTTACTTTTATAAATTATACAACAAAAAACACTTCAATGTAATTCAATTTGTATATTCAGGGATCTAGACTTCAATGCCAATCGTCAATACATCTTATCAACTTGTGGAGATGATGGATACATGAAGTTCTGGGATATTAGATCACCTGCAGAACCAGTATTATCACGTTCAGAGCATTCACATTGGGTGTGGAATATCAGAATTAATCGATTTCATGATCAACTAGTATTGACTTCTAGTAGTGATTCAAGAGTCATACTTAGTAATATTGCTTCCATTTCTTCTGAACCTTTTGGAAATATAGTAACCCCTGAAGATGACAGTACACAAAATGACTTTACTTGCAAGAAAGAAAAGTAATTGCTACAATTTAGTGAACAAAAAACGAAATCTTCTTGAAATTTATATATGTAATATGTTTTAGATTGGAGGATGGAGTCATAGGCAGATACGAAGAGCATGAAGACAGTGTTTATGCAGTTGAATGGTCATCTGCAGATCCTTGGACTTTTGCATCATTAAGTTATGATGGCAGACTAGTTCTTAATAAAGTTCCCAGGAAGTATAAATACCAAATATTACTTTAATATCAAATTTTAGCATCAAATTAAATTAAACAAACTTTATATATATTTCAAAAAGTGGTTTCATTTATTCTTATTTGGACTATAATATTTTACATAATATTTGTAATTACAATAATTAATATTCAGTTATATTAATTTTTTATAATCTATCTGATACTCTGCTAGCTATATTTCTTAGTTGCCCATAAACTTTTGAAGGTGGACTACCCAAAATTAAATTACAAACAGCTCTTCTTGCTAACTGTATGTTCTGGAAGGAACCCAGTATGTGAATTTTACAATCTGCTAACACAATTCTTGTCTTTGTAACATTTTCTATTGTGAATTTTGTTCTTCCTCCCTTTCCTGCTAGCCTACCAATAGCTCTAGAAAGATGATCTCCTTTTAGAGGTTTTACATCTTGAATTTCAAATGTTTCTACAAACAGATCATCTAAACGTATCAAAGCCAAGGCATCCTCAACTTCAAAGCCACATACAAAAGCTTTTACAAAATCAGCGCCCTTTTGTAAATTAGCAATATCAGGTGTTTCCGGAGCTGTACGTAGTTCTATATTTCTTGTATGTAAATTGAATCTTATTTGCAATTGTAAGTGTTCAACGATAGGAGTGAATATTTTCAACCAGTTTTCCTTCAGTGGTGTATACCTATGTGCAGGTACAGGTATCTGAAAATATTTCATTTTATTTTAATAATAACAAACACACTATAGTCGAATTTGTAAACAATCAACTCACTTTTCTTTGCTCTTCACCTTGTACATTTCTAGCTTTTTTCAAGGAAACATGTGGTTTCGTTTTTCCTTCTATGTCATTGACTGCTTCAATCTAAAAACACATTTACAAAGACGCTACTATATTATGAAAGATAAGATTGATTTATCATAACCTTATTTCATACCTCCATACGATTTTCACTGGAACGCCGTTTCTTTCTACCTTGAAATTCAACAAATTCAACTGATTCCGCATTATCAGTTACTTTTTCTTGATCTACACTCATTATGTTAAATATTATATATTTACAAAAATTCTAAATATGTTCCTCACTCAGATGTTGTATACAGCAGGCTTCACTTATACTGAACCCACGCGGTGGCGAAATGGCGACCCGCTTAGAGATACGAAGCAGGTAGAAAAACTGCTTCTCTTCTGATTGGTTGACGCTTCACAGCTACCCAAAAAGAGAAAGTGACGAGTCAGCAAAAGAACACGACAGCACAACACAAGCGAAACCAGTCATACCAACGACCAATGTAGCTTGTCTCACTTTACCATGCTTGCGATCTCACTCTTCTCGCGTATTCGTACGCCTGGCGCTTCATTTGAAACACGCTGCATGATATTCGATTTGTATTTTTCGCCCCGTAGGATTCTTAATCACATATAGTCTAGCGTATTTGCAAATGACCATTTCTAAAGTTATTAAAATTTTCGAAAACTCGTAAAGTACAATTGAGATAATACTTTCTAGTTTATGAATCTACAAAATTTTGTTAATTCAGCCATTCCAGTACTCCCCCCCTTTTCGAAAGCAACGAATAATTTCTTAATTTTATACAATTTTTACTTCTAAAAATTTGAAAAACAAAGCTGACACATACTTGCATTCATATTCTCTTAGAAAGACTATACATACATTTAATTTAGTAATTACCTAGAAAAAATTCTCGAACTTAGAGATTTTGAAAATTAGAGTTAAGAATGATTGAGGTTTAGGTCAATTTAACGGCAAAAAAGATTTAAAAAATATATGAAACAATTCCAAAACGTGTAGTAGAAATTTTGATCCGCAATCTACAACGAAACTAGAAATATAAGAAAAGGGCTGTGTTGTTTGGGGGTCTGGGTCTCATAGAAAATTGTATTTTATTTGGACATCGATATTCTCATAATAAGGACTAACTTTCCTGCTTGCACGAATTTGAGGCTTTGAGAAGGACTGTTATTATTAAATAGAGGAGCCTGTGGAACAAAGGAGATTGCTGCTTCTGTGGTTTGAGGAAATGGTACGACGAAATAACCACGGGAGTATTTAATAATATCATTGGTAAGAAGAGTTCTCATAAATATTAAACATAGAAAAGCAATCAATTTATTAACGAAGCTCGTCTGCTGCAACAATTTCTTGAAACTTTTGTGCTCGAAATATTATTTTGTATGTTTGATTCTATCGGCTATTTTCGCTAGAAAATTAAATAGCAAAATTTCTAGTGGGGTGCTTCATCATACTTCTATCAAACAGAATTGTTGCAAATATTAGGAAACGAGAAATAATTAATTAATTAACAAAAGCAATTCGATATAATAACTTAAACAATTCGATCGATTTATGCAAGACGATTAATTATTAATTGAACCTCGTTGGTACTTTTCATGAACAAATTAAGCGATGAAATAATTTCTTGGGCACCGGATAGCATTATTGCAAAATAAATAATCGCGGATATTAAATAAATGGAAATAATCAAAATTGTCGAAATTATCGATCGC